CTGGAAGCTTTTTATCTCTCCTTCTATTTTCAATGACAGCCTAGCTGGATATAGTATTCTTGGCTGCATATTTTTCTCATTTAGTGCTCTGAAGATATCATGCCAGTCCTTTCTGGCCTGCCAGGTCTCCGTGGATAGGTCTGTTGCCAATCTAATGTTTCTACCATTGTAGGTTACATATCTCTTCTCCCGAGCTGCTTTCAGGATTTTCTCTTTGTCTCTGAGACTCGTAAGTTTTACTATTAGATGTCGGGGTGTTGACCTATTTTTATTGATTTTGAGAGGGGTTCTCTGTGCCTCCTGGATTTTGATGCCCGTTTCCTTCCTCACATTAGGGAAGTTCTCTGCTATTATTTGCTCCAATATACCTTCTGCCCCTCTCTCTCTTTCTTCGTCTTCTGGGATCCCAATTATTCTAATGTTGTTTCGTCTTATCGTACTGCTTATCTCTCGAATTCTGCCCTCGTGATCCTGAAGTTGTTTCTCTCTCTTTTTCTCAGCCTCTTTATTTTCCATCATTTGGTCTTCTATATCGCTGATTCTCTCTTTTGCCTCATTTATCCCAACAGTTAGTGCCCCCATTTTTGATTGCACCTCATTAATAGCCTTTTTGATTTTGACTTGGTTAGATTTTAGTTCTTTTATTTCTCCAGAAAGGGTTTCTCTAATAACTTCCACACTTTTTTCAAGCCCAGCTAGTATCTTTAAAGTCATGATTCTGAACTCTAGGTCCGACATCGTACTAATGTCTGTATTGAGTAGGTCCCTGGCTGACGGTACTATCTCTTGTTCTTTTTGCTGAGGTGATTTTTTTTGTCTTGTCATTTTGTCCAGAGGAGAATAGATGAGTGAGAGAACAAAATGCTAACAGGTTAACAACGTCCCCAGCAAATATCCTGTACACAAATCAGAAAAGACCTGAAACCAGGGGAAAAGAAAGGGAAAGAAAGAAAAAAGAAAGAGAAAAAAAAAAGAGAAAAAAAGATAAAAACAAAAACAGAAAAATACAAAAAAAGCAGAATATGATCAAATATGATCAGGCTAGTACATAGATCAGTGCCACACACTAGATTTTGGGCGTATTTTAGTCTGTTAGAAAAAAGTGCCTCCTAAAATTTTAAAGGAAGAAAGACATATATGTACAAAATAAGGATTGATACAATGAAGGGATGGAGGATGACTGTAAAGATGAAAATTATAAAAGATTTTATAAAAGGAATTGATAAGATAAGAAGTTGTTTGAAAAAAGAAAGAAGAAGATTAAAAAAAGAAAAGAAAAAAGGGAGAGAATGTGATCAGGCAGGAGACTAGAACAAAGCCATACACTAGTGATTTAGGGTATATTTTGATCTGTTAGAGGAAACTGTATCTCAAAATTTTAAAGAGAGAACAACTTATATATATATGCCAAAAATAAGGGTAACTACTATGAAGGGATAAAATATGACTCTAAAAATGAAAAATAAAAAATGTTTTTTTTAAAAAAGGGATTGATAAGATGTTGGTTGAAAAAGGGAAAAAGAAAAATTCAAAAAAAAAACAGTTAAAAAAATTAACTTTGAAAAACTAATGAATCATGGTAAAAAAGCCATGAATTCTATGTGCAGTATTCCCCTAGCGCTGGAGTTCTCCCATTATCCGTGATCGGTAAACTTGGTCTTGGCTTGCTGGCTGTTCCTGCCGATCTTCTGGGGGAGGGGCCTGTTGCCGTGGTTCCCAAGTGTCTTTGTGGGAGGCGGAATTGCCCCACCCTTGTCCATCCAGGCTAAGCAAGCTGCTCGGGTTTGCTCTCAGGAGCTTTTGTTCCCTGCAAGCTCTCGGTACAGCTTTGGAGGACCAGGGCAGAAATGGTGGCCTCCCAGTCTCCACCCAGAGGAGCTGAGAACTCTGGGCCCCGCTCCTCAGTGTGCCCCCAGAGAAAAGCAGTCACTCCCGTCTCCCCGGTCTCCGGCCGCACTCTGTGCTCACCCGGCCTGTGACCGAGCGTTTCTATCTCTGGCACCCGACCCCGTGTGGAGTCTCCAAACCCAGCAGATCCCTGTGGTGCGTTCCGGCGCCACTCCTCCCAGGGGAGGAAGGAGAATCTCCCCGGCTCTGCCGCTTGTTGGGTCCCTGCTGGAGGAGCAGTGGCCCGACTGGGCCGCGGATCACAGTTTATGGCAACCCCGAGCTGAGAGCCCGCGCCTCAGCTCCGTCTCTGCAGCCGGCTTCCCCGCTCCGATACCTGGGAGCTCTGGCGCACTCAGGCACCCCCGGTCTTTCTGTGACCCCGAGGGTCCTGAGACCACACTGTCCCGCGAGGGTTCCACCCCCCACTTAGCCACTGGAGCAACGTCCCTCAGCGGAGCCGGCTTCTAAAAGGTCCGATTTTGTGCTCCGCGGCTCTATCACTTGCCAGAAGCGGCCGACGGAGGCCCCCTCCTCTGCCGTTTCTCCTCCCGAATATCGCCTCGGATTCACTTCTCCGCACGTCCTACCTTCCAGTAAGTGGTCGCTTCTCTGTTCAGAGAGTCGTTGCTACTCTCTTCTTCAGTCTCCTATTGAGTTCGTAGGTGTTCAGAATGGTTTGATCCCCATTCCGCTGAATTCCTGAGACCAGACGAAATCCAGGTCTCCTACTCCTCCGCCATCTTGCTCCAGCCAACTAATGACTTTTATAATAAGGGGCTCTGGGAAAGGCTCAAGAGAGATCTTAAACGGAGGTAAATAAGTGTATTCAAGTGAAGCAAAGGCTCGCTTACTCCCTTTATCCCCACTCCAGGGTAAGAGAATGTTTAAATCGTTCTACAGGCTTTTGGTAATTGCAGTAGCAAAGTGGCAGAGTTTCTTATATTCCACAGGAAACTTTAAACTTGAAGTCTCTGATAACTCATTGACACTCTAAAATATGAGAACCCCTTCCAGAATGTAGCCAAGTCAACTGCGCTCATAGGTACAAATGCTCTCCTCATAAAGCAGAAAAAAAGTGAAAAATGGGAGGCAGAATGTTTGAATATTCAGTCCAAATTTGGAACTCATTTTGTGCACAATAAATCTATTAGAATCAGGCTGTCAATCACAATTCTGAAGTAAGGAATACAAATTCAGACCCGCTATGGAAGGATCTTATAATCTATGGAAGGTGACAGAATGAAAAACCAGCCTGGTAATTAAGGATAGGAGTCCTAACACACACACCACGGCAATGATGCTCCCAAAGGCACTGGAACCAGCTCCGTGGGTTTGCACCTCAGCTCTGTATGACATCGGGCACTTCACCTCTCTTGGCCTCAGTATTCTCATTTGTAAAACGGGCTGAATAACAGAAGCCACCTTGTGGGATTATTATGAGGATTAAATGAGATAATACCATTGCTTAGAACACTTGGTTTTTTTTTTTTTTTTTTTGTAGTGATTAGGTCAAGGGCATTTGCTGGCCATGAACTTGTGCTGTGGGGGGGTCGTAAATAAATGGCTTTGGTCCTTCTCAGTCTCATTCAGGAGAGAGAAGACATGGCTTCTTGGTCACAGAAGTGGTCCTTGAGAGATCTGGGTGCGTGAAGAGATGGAAATAAAACAAGTCTTCCTGCCCCCTCTGATAGAAGATCAAACAAAGAGTCCTCTTAAGTCCAGCATTCCAATGTTCCACAATAGGCTCTGAGATGGAGACCCCATGGCCTTGCAATAAATTCCTTTGCCTCATTATTATTCTCTACACTCATAGTTCCCTTGGGTACAGATGTCTGGTGGAGTGTAGAGTTTAGAATTCTTAGCACCCTGTCCTTCCATATGGTAATCCTATTTCCTTAACATCACTAAAACCTCACCTTCCTAATGTTAATATAAAATGAAGTAGGCTTCAATGGTAAGAATAAGCATCATTGTTTAAAAGTCTCAGTATCTAGGATGGGGCTTTATCTTCCTTTTAAGAGTCCTGTATTGAAGCAGGCAAGGCATTACCATTAATAAAACCACATCCTAATGTTTCATTGGTATTCCAACTCCCCATATAGTCCTCACACAAGCAAAGATGTCTTCGATTCCAATGGGACTCTTTTCCTCTGCAAATTCTACAGGATTCCATATTTTATTGAGGTATGAGCTAGATGGGATGTCCAAAATGAATGGAGACATTTAGAATTTCGCCATACACCTAAATGTCTCAGGACCAACCTTCTCTACAAAACATCTTGCAGTTAGCATTTGTCAAGAACACTTTTATCACTCCAATCACTAAAAACTTATTAATTTTTTTTGGTCTATGTCAACCTTTTATCATTAACTATGTATATACTATTCTATTTATTGTGTTTAGATTCTTATATATTTTAGGCATGTCTCACCTGTTTCTTCCATTGATTATAAACCTTTCAAAGGCTGAATCTTGTTAACTTTCCACAGTAATTTTTGCTGTTTATTTATTCATTCATTCCACATTTATTGAGCACTCAAAGTGCCCAAGTACTACAGGGACAAAAAGTTGGACAAGGCAATGAATCCTTCTCCCCAGAGTCATAGGTTCTATTTTCATACAATGAAGCACAAATAGTAGAAGATTTGAAAATGTCATGGTAAAGTTACTGTTTTTCTAGAACTAGAAAAATGTTTTGCCTATGTTGCATTCTCTGGTTTGCCAAAGCCAATCACTGCCCTTACTTTCTTTCTTTAAATTGAAATTGAAAAAAGAAAAAGAATTCAAGAACACAGAATTTTACAAATCAAAGGTATCCACAGTTTAACTTCAAACTCATAGAATCTTCTGTCTTTCCCTCCCCCTCCAGGATTGTGGCCAAAGCCTCCAAGAACCTCATGTCCACTCAAAGCCTAGGGATTGTATTTGGACCCACCCTTCTGCGAGCTGAAGATGAAATGGGGAACATGGCAATACATATGGTATACCAAAACCAGATAGCTGAGCTCATGCTGAGTGAGTACAATAAGATCTTCGGCTCAGAGGAAGACTGACAGACAAGACAAGTGACTGAATATGTTCACATCTGTCTCGATGCCTAATATTTTTACATTTCTGTAAACATATTTCTGAAATATTTTTTTCCTTTCAAGCGACAGATGCCTCATTTTGTGAAAACTTAATGATAATTTTGTGTTTAAGTTCCAAACATTTGAATAAAATAGTTGACAATATTTGCCTATATGTGTTCTACATTAACCCCTTCATTGCTATTCCTTCTAGCACTTCTAGGCATTCATTATGCATGCTCCAGACTATAAAATAATGTGCAGAGCACAGCACATATCCAAAAGACAGTTTTAAAACTGCTCCCAGGCATTGGGTGTGTAATTGTGTGAGTGTGAGTTTTGTCAATATGGGTATGTGTGCACACAGGTGAGCCTGTTTACTACCCTGGCAGCCTCGGGCATGTTCCCATACTCTTACTTACATGAGTAGAACCAAAAGAGGGAAGAAGTCAGAAATTAATCATTTTTAAATTGGACAAAAAAGATCAGGTTCTCCACTAAAATAGATATATTTCATCTTTCAGGAACATTTTGCATGTGCAAATAGAAAATACAGCCCAGCTATCCTCAATGCTATATGGTGAAATTTACAAATACAACATGTTGAATGGCAATTTTTCTGAAGAGAAATGACAGTTCAAAACATTTGCCACTGAAGATTTTATACACACACACACACACACACACACGTATATACAGACACACTACTTGCAGTCCCATAAACATACTGTCTTATAAATTAGAAGCAAAATTAGTGTCCTAGAATTTTGATCTTTATAGTATACAGGAATTGCATGAGCGCTCATTTTTAATGTTAGCGTCCATTTTGAATCTTCATCAAACTGTATATCTTCCTATGCCCTGGCTATGTCACTTTATGTAGAATTTTTATTATGCTTCTGAGGATGCTTTATTGGTGAATTATATCAAATCCATCTAGAAAGAACTTTTTAAAAAGCCTTTTTTTATATGCCCTAAGGATTACTTGACTAGACTTGGATTGCTTTATCCATTTGATTGTTAGTTTCAGTTGTCATGGATAAACAAAAGGGTAACTGTCTAGATTACATCAAACATGTTTTATTTTTGAAAAGTATGTTCTAACTGAACACATCTCATACCCAGTTTTGTGAAAGTATTCTGCTGATAAAAATGTAGACTTCTGTTTGACAGCTTTTTAATCAAATTCAAAAGAAATTAATAAAATTAATCCAGTGCAATAAAGAGTAAGTCTAGTTATCGATTTGTTCATAAAATGAGGAATAAAGCATGTAAATAAAATGTGTGAAGCATGGATTCAAAAGCAAACACTGAGCAATAATGAGCTCAGTGGCATAGGCTGTCTACATAGATGGGGTATATGGTACAGGGAGAGAGTCTGTTCAAGAGATAGCCAGATGTGCTGGCAGCTCCAGCATCCACAGAGCTGCCCAAGAAAGAAGTTACCTTGCCCCTCTTGAATGTCTTCATCTTGGCAATGGCACCAGTAAGTCGGCTCTTGGCCAAGAACAGAAAAGCAACCACAATAAGTGCTGAAGAGTGGTTTCATCAAGTGGGATATATACACATTCCATGAAGCCAAGGCAAGTCACATGAGGCAGAACCCCATGAACTAAAGTCACTGGTAACAGTGAGCTAATAGGCTTGCCAGCCTTAAACTCTTATATGTAGAGTGGTACCGATGCCTTTCAGAAAAGCATGGAGACATGAAATAAGAGTTTCTGGCATTCTATTTCAAGTCCTCCTCATTTCCATGACATTCCATATTCTGAATTATATCTCTCCAAGATTTTAATTACTTCTCTTTTTGAAGGGGGGAGAGTGGGTTTAGTGGTCCCCTCATTTAAATCGTATCCCTTCCCATGTCCATCTTTAAAGTTATTCTGGGAGCATCAGCCAGAAAGAAACAGCACTAATAGCCAAAGAGAAGTGGCACTACCTGCTTTGAGCAGAGATTCATAGCCCCTCATCTCTGCTGCTTTCCAGATTTATAATCTTCAAAAGCACCAGCTTCTTGATTTTCCATCTGATGGGATTTAGTCTGATTCAAACCCAGCTGTGTCCCATCCCTGCCTGCTAAGGGCATTTAATCAGAGACTGTGTTCCTCTCGGGGACAAGACCATTCCACAGTACTGAGGCAAAGCGCCCATCAGAGGATCTGACTTGCACACACCAAGGCATAAAAAGGGTTACACCAAAAGGTCATTAGATTCCAGAACATTCCAAAGACAGTAATGATGGTCATAACAACTATTCCAAGTTTAAAAGCCGAGAATGTAGGTTTACTAGGCTGACCCACCAAGGGGTTAGATTTTATAAAACTGATCAATATTCTTCATCAAGAAGACATAAAAAAAAATGAGCTCTTCTTAATCACCTCTTTAAGCCAGCTGCAAGTCTAGGCAGGAGCAATACAAATATAAAATAAGGCAAATTCCCACCCTCTGTAAGTTCCACAGTCCAATAAGAGAGAAAATCATCTAAAGATTAATATAAGATCAGGGACCTCAGCCACCTTAATAACCATGTTGCCCCAGGGTTCAGCAGCTATACATAGAGACGTTCGAAAAGCATTCTGAATGAATGAACAAGCAGAAGCCAGTACAGAAACATTAACAAAGTTCAGTCATTGACAGAGAACCAAATAACAAGTTGTGCCTGGGGTGAGTCAGGTGAAGTTTCACTGGGAAGGTAACCTTTTTAATCTAATTTTGACCAGGGAAATAAGATTAACCAAAGAAAAATGTAGAAGACATACTGGGCAGCAGGGATGGCGTGAACAGAGTCATGAAAGACCCACTATCTCCAAGGTAAAGAGAGAAGCTCAGGGAACAGAGGATGAAGTGCATGCCTAGCAACCTGGGAGGATAGAGCTAGAACAATGTTGGGGTTAAACATAGGACATAATAAAATATGTATGCAGTAGGCAAAAGAGATCCAGTGGGAGTTGTAAAATAAAAAAGCCATAGAAAAACTTTGTTTCTTAAAAAAAGAATCTCTCAATTCACCAGTGGACACAAGAAACCAAATACCTTGAGAACACTGGCATATTCTCCTGTATGTGTTTGTATGTGTGCATGTATGCATGTGTACAATTTCTAACATGTTCCATCATGCAATGATAATCTCGTATCCTTAGGAGCATTTCTATATCATGATGACTAAATATTTTCAGATATTATAACTGGTAACTTAGTCTATAGAATGGAAACCCAAGTCCAAAACAGTCTCCCTGGAAAAACCAGCTAGCTGGTACATCCCATTCCAGCATGGATTTACCTACCCAGGATGTGGAAGATTGCCCCCCTTTCGCACTAATACAAAAAACTTTGTGGAGATGGTATTTGTTTTGTCCTATATGTTGAGAGTGTGGCTTTACTTAGCGTGTGCCACATAACAGGATCACCATGCCACAGCTAGTAATTGAAAGCCATATGATGGTTCTCCCTATCCAATTAGAAAACAAAGGATCCAATTAAGAAAAATTAGAAAAGCTGTTAAAAAGGAACAATCACTTGCCAATGCTGCTGTCCTTACAGTTTAACACAGCTAGAAATTGACCTGTACTTCTCTTTTCCACATTTATTTTTGTGAATTATAAGTTAATCACCCTGTCAATTCCTAATTAAAAGGCCCTGTAAAGATTTTCATCCAAAAGGACTGTCACTAAGAGTTCTGGGTCAAATTGCTCTGTTGTCAAAAATAAGAAATAAAACCAAAACAATATCAACACTCTCCTTGGGAAACTCGAATCTTAATACCAAACAACAAAGACTTTCTTCAAACATAATAATCAGATACAATTTCTTCAATTAATATGCTTCATCTTATCTTTAAAAAATAGGTGGGTTTTTTTTTTTTTTCCTCTTTCTTTAAACCAAGGCTTGCAAATTCAAATGTTACTAGGGCCAGGCGGGTAATATAGATGAGTAAAGAAGAGCAGGCTTAAGGCCTTATGAAGTGGTAGCAGCTGGGGAAAACCCAAGCTCAACCCCTGGCCAAAAGGGTCGGCTTCTACTCAGCTCAAGCCGATACTGCTTATGTGGGAATGTGGGCACAATGTTGCCAGACCTTCAGATCTTTCATGACAAGCCAGAAATTCAGGAACTTATGTGAAATCTGATTTTTAAGGGCACCTCATAAAACACATCTGAGCAGACTTACCCCAACGTTCTCCATTTTTGTAAACTCCATCTTAAGCCTCCCGATGTTGCAAAGTCTGCTTTCCAGAAACTGGTAGTGCATGAAGCAAATGGTCGAGATATGTGAGTGAGCCAGAGCAATGTGTAAGAGAAGAAAATGAAAAAAACGACAGAGAGAGAGAGACGAGTAGACATAGGAGAACTTGCTTTTTAGGTCCTGCACAAATTATTTACTCTCTCTGGGTCTCAGTTTTCCAATCTATAAAATAGAATACTTGCCATATCTTGCCTCTTAGGACTAACAGAATCACTTGATGGAGATGAAAACACGTAATACAGCACGAAAACCTAAGTTGTTCCTAATGGATGTGGATGATAAATCTCTAGCTTATTGACTAACAGTTAGCTTTATGAACTTTTTTTTTTAGATTTTATTTATTTATTTGAGAGAGAGAGAATGAGAGATAGAGAGCACGAGAGGGAAGAGGGTCAGAGGGAGAAGCAGACTCCCTGCTGAGCAGGGAGCCCGATGTGGGACTCGATCCCGGGACTCCAGGATCATGACCTGAGCCGAAGGCAGTCACTTAACCAACTGAGACACCCAGGTGCCCCTAGCTTTATGAACTTTTAAAGGTAAGAGTGCCTGGGTGGCTTAGTCAGTTGAGCCTTTGCCTTTGGCTCAGGTCATGATCCCAGGGTCCTGGGATCGAGCCCCGCATTAGGCTCCCTGCTCAGTAGGAAGCCTTCTTCTCCCTCTCCCTCTGCTGCTCCCCCTGTTTGTGCGTGCTCTCTCTGTCAAATAAATAAGTAAAATGCTTTAAAAAATAATAAAGACAATGTGAAGGTTGGGATCAGACGCTAAAAAACCTTGAATGCCATCCCAAGAGGTGGTATATTAAATCTCTCGTCAATTCTGAGACCTGAACATTGTTTAGCAGGGAAGTGACTTTATCAGACTTGTAGAGATTCTCCTGGCCCTTGATGGGGAGAGTTTGAAGAAGGGAGAAATTATAGACACCATCGCCAGACA